CGACTTTATTCTCGTCATGTTGCGACTTTATTCTCGTCATGTTGCGACTTTATTCTCGTCATGTTGCGACTTTATTCTCGTCATGTTGCGACTTTATTCTCGTTATGTTACGACTTTATTCTCGTTATGTTACGACTTTATTTTCATAATTTTATGATTTTATTCTCATAATTTTTTTACTTTATTCTAGTAATTGTACAACTTTATTGTCGCAATTTTATTACTTTATTCTCGTAATGTTAAGACTTTATTTTCAAAATAGAAGAAAAAAACTATAAAAAAAGTATTTTTGAACATTTGAAACATACTTTAGTTTCTAAAGATTATTTTTTCAAAGGGACAATTGGTAACCCGACAGAAGGTGCTTCCATATTTCCAGTCAAAGCTGGACGTCTCAAGCGGAGGTTAAGAGTGACTTTTAATTTGTACTCCAATTGTAACTCTTTTATTTGATCTCAGTGAGCCATGGCTGCTGTTTGCGTTGCTCCGTATGTTATTTGTTTATTGTTCAGTCCATATTTGCGTCGTATATTGTAACCTCTGCCAAGTGGCTAATTTTGCCCCATATTGTGACTTAAACCCAATAGCTAAAACTGGCAGATGATCTGGATCATTATGGAATTGGAATTAATTTTTCCTCTGGTAAAAAATCCTTAAAATCTTTTCATAAGTTCATAAGTAGGCTAAAGCGGAGCTAGGGACTGCAGCCTCTGATGGCTGTTCTGCCCTTTTCTTTGCTCTTTGCTCAGAAGATTCAGACTTCAAATGACGTATGGCTCCCTTTTCTTCTGTTTTTGTATTTTCCGTCTTCAGTATAGAACTTTTGCACTTTTTGGGTTTGATGCTGAAGCTGTCAATAGTCGCTGCTGCCACCCTCTGGATTGGGGGGAGGGTGCTGTATCTGGACTCTTATCTAAATCATCACCAAAATGTAATGGATTGTTCCTTGGCTTGAGGCGCACCTCTTGTAAAAATGTAATTGAAATCCATTCATAAAGTTTCAAGTTTTCCTGCTAAAAGACAAACAAACAAGTACATGCTGGCTCACCTGGATGAGGCTGGAGTTTAAATATTCTGCACAAACACCGAGGGGCTGGACCAGAGCTGACACACTCTGTTCCCCGCAGGAGGAAAGAGATAGAGAAGGACAATTATGAGACATAAAGCAATAAGTGGATCAACTCATCAGTACTATGAGTTATTAAAGAGACATTCTATACGTTTTTATTGAAAAATATCTCTACAATCGCCTTTTTCATTGACCCTTTATAACTAAAACATGGTTTAATGAGCAGAGTGACACATCTGTAGTTCAGCTCCGATGCTTCTATAAATCTATAGCCTATTTTCCTGAATGTACTCTGGGTCAGAAGTTCCCCCACTGTTTCCAGGATGTGACATCAATGTTCAAAGGGTCTGAAGAATTATATTCAAGACGGATTTTGTGGATATTCAGAAGCAACTCCACATAGGATAAAAAAAAGTAAAAAACACACCTTGTTAAGAACAGACGCGAGTTACGAGAACGAGCAGAAGACTGCTGTAGTGCTGCATTTCGGCCACAGGTGGTAGTATTGTTACAAAAATCTGTGACGCCTCTTTAATAATCTTCATGCAAAATATTTAGCAACATAATCCATTTTTCTCCCCCTTCAGAAAGATATAGAGACACCAAGTGGATCATTAATAATGCACAGATCTCAGGAGAAGCGCCAACAGAGTAACAGGAAATGTAGCTTTATTGATATTTGTTTTTTTCATGTGATCAAATTTTCTAATATTAGATATTAGGCATACTTGTCTTTCTTCAGACTTTATTTTCTAAAAAAAAAAAAAAAAAAGTAGTGTTTATTATCATAGTGTTCAAAGGACATGCTTTCAGGTTATAAGGACGCTTTGACAGCTCCTACATTTATCACTCTCCTCTCCTGCAGAAGGAAGCTGTCGATTAATGGCTTCAACTCTGTCAACATCTCTTACTGTCCATGTTGGGCTTCAGAGGGTCCCTAGTAGTTCATTTAAATAGACCAGTTCCTCTGTCCGGCTATAAACAGTTATCTTAATTCTGTTTCTGGCAAAGATTTGGGATTGGAAGAGAGCGGCGTCCTTCAGCTAAGAACAAAGTGTAATATTTTATAAGGCTGGAGCCACGGATGTCTCCTCATCTGCAAACATGTATGATGTAATGATGCTGGTAGGTAGCTGCCTTCTGTAAACTCTAAGCATCTTCTCTGATCTGAATAAGATTATAATTTCTATCAAAATCTGTTGTCATGTCTCCTGGTTCTTTAATAAATACACGTTATGAAGTGTTATTTAAAGAGTGATCTCTTTTCAGGAAAAACAAATGGAAATAGAAAGCTTTAAGCTAGACACAGAGCTTTCCTTTAACAAATGGTGTTTCCACCCGGACCTGAATAAGTTGTATAACTGGAGGAGAGCCACTGATGGACCAACCACACAGGTGAGGAGATTCCCTTTTAAATAACTCCAGTGCTAGATAAGGCACCAAGAAAATACTGCCTCAATCTACCGAGGTACAATTTGAATTTCTGAGAAAACTAAACTTTTGCAAGCATGAAAAATGAAGGAGCACGCACATCTTTGCTGCTACTGCTGCGTGCGGTCTGAACGTAGCATAAGGCCTCCAACAAGTGATGCACTGCAAGGCTGTTGTTGCAGGGAGGAAGCGTCCTTTTAGATTCAGGTATGTTAAAGAACATGACTTAGAGTTGATGACCTTTTCTCTCCAGCAGCGGATGTCGTTCGCTCTCAATGATCAGTCAGGAATAGTTAATATTTGTCCTTTTAAAGAAACCCTGCCTAATCATTCCCTAAGCAGCTCCTTCTCCTCTGCTTGCCTCCTCTCGCCGCACTAAGAACTCAATAACCCCAACCCTCCATCCCGCTTGGCTTCCTGCTCAAAGCTGACAAATTAATGAGCCACCTCTGGGAGTCAGAAGGAGGAGGGAGCTCTCCTCCCATTATCTCTCCTCCGTTGGCTTTCAGTCTCTCCTGCCTTTAGAGTAGGTTAAGTATTCAACAGCCAACACGCACAGATACTCCTGAGCTCTCCGTGCAACTTAAGAGAGCTAAATTAGTCTGCACTGAGCCTTTAGCCTTATTAATATGCCAAGCATTGGAGTCAATTGCTATGCGCTGCTGCAGTTCCGGCCAGGTTGCTGAAGGAAGCGTTCGCACAAGGATGCTTTCAGAAGACGTAAAACAACAGAGCATTTCAAGCATCACACAGCGGGAGGATGTCAGAGCGTAAGAGATGTTAGTGGGAGAAAGGGAGGGAAAGGAGGCACATTCAGCATCCTGCAGCTGACAGCAGAGGCAGGGGGGGGTGCAAACCCGGCTGTCAGCAGTGACTCGGCACGCATCACATGGGAAACTACTATTTCAGTTATATGGTAAAGGAAAGAAACAAAGGAAGGAACGTTCTTACAGCGATCTCGATCTCCTCTGAGCTGAGTTTGGTCTGGATGGCAGCGAATCCTCCCAACTCTCCAAACTTTAGCACACAAAAAAGAGAAAAAAATCTGATATAAGAAGCAGAACTCTTGAAAACATAGATCTACACACTAAGATTGAATGACTCACTCGGTTCACTAAGTCAACCAGCCAACCGTGAGGCTCCTGAAAGAAAAAAAAGCAAGTCATGTTTTCATTCACAATGACGCAGCAAACTGACAGACTGGTTTGCCGACAGCTGTCCTGTCAGTCAGGGGCGTTTCCCTGACAACATGATGCAGAAAAACCCGTCTGCCTGTACGGGAACTTTACTGTATAGAAATATCTGGAAGTTGTTCTGGATACGCGTGCACAGAGAAAACACCCGGAGGAGGAGGTCAGAGCGGACGAGGAGAGTATTCCTTACTTTCTGGTAGGTGTTGCTGGGCGAGACGGCAAATATGTTGGCCTCGTCTCCGAAAACCTCAGCCCAGTTCCTCTGGCATGACTTCAACCGGTTCTTGAAGTGGTACTCGTTGTCAGGGTTTAGGGCCTGGCCGCCAGAAACACAGACACAACCAGGACACATGACTTTTGTGTTTACAAAAATAATGCAGCAGCTTTGGCAAACTATAGATCAGGAGTAACAATTAAAAACTGAATAAAGAAAACCATCAACCAGTAAAGGTCTGCAGACATTTTTAACTATAATCCGTTACTCTAAACAGAATTTAACACTGAAATAAAATGAGGTTTTTATGCATCCATGTTATACATTGAATTTTTTAATAAAAAATATAAAAAAAATAGAAAATTTTTCCATTTTAAAATCTGAAGTGTTTTTTTAAGTAGAGAACAACAATCGTTTAGTTTGGTTTATAGATAA